CTATTACTATACTTCCTTAACTAATAAACAATTATCTTACTAGAAATCTGTTTTAACCGATATTCCTTTCTCACAACTAGCCTGAGAAAAAAAGATTTTATCATTTCTTACAATCAATCGGCTTCCTTTCAATCTAATCGAGTATCTAATATTTATAAGCTTAATTCAGATAGTCTACAATGTACCGACTGTGCCACAAGTCCCATCTGCAATGACGATCCGTCGCTGGCTAGAAGTGCTAGTCAAAGATCAGTAACAAAGGGTTCTTAGGATGTTTCCTTCAGATTCAAAAATATCAATTGCGCTTGACAGTTGGACATCCCCGTTTTCTCAGGCATTTTTAGCTATAACTGGTTACTTTGTTAATGCTGATTGGGTATATCGGGAAGTATTTCTTAGCTTTAAACCTTTTCATGGAGCGCATACTGGTTTGAACATGAGTGGTATTGTTCTCGAAACACTCAACAACCATCAGATTCAAGACCAGGTCTTTGAAATAACTAGTAATAATGTATCAAACAATAAAACACTGACTGATTCTCTTCAGCAGACTTTATCTGATAATATTAATATTATTCGAACTCCCTGTCTTGCTCATGTTATCCAATTTAGTTTGAACTAGCTTCTTGACCGTCTCAGAGCAATCCTACAAAACAATACTGCAGAAACAAAATGGACTGACCGGCTATCATCTTTAGCAAAAGCAAATATATAACATCAGAAGTATAAGATTTCTTTTACTTTAAATAAGGTCCGCTCTCTGGCAATATATATCCACGGAAACCCTTTACGTCAGGAAACATTCAACAATTTTCAAATAGGCGATTCTAAGCTTACACCAATCCAAGATGTAAGAACTCGATAGAATTTAACCTTTCTAATGTTTTGCCGCGCAAAATGATTCCGTAATATCTTTACACGATTCTGTACCGACTATAATTGTAAAAAGATATTACTAAACAATAAGGAGTGGCGCCAAATTGACTATCTTCTCTATATTACTAAGCCATTCTTTCTCTATATAACTGAGCTATCAAAGACTCGAGAGGTTACAATACATCTTGTTTTCAAGATCTATAACGCGTTTTTTGAGCATCTTGAAAAGTCAATGAAGCAGCTCCGGCGGAAATGTATTCTATAGAAAAAATAGATGCTTAATTCTTTTGAAGCTGGTCGATCTAAGCTTGATAAGTACTACTCACAGACAGATAAGGCTAAATCACATATTTATGCGATTAGTACAATGCTTGCCCCTGATAACAGGTTCCAATTTTTCCTATCTGATGACTGGGATAAACAATGGCGCGACCTTTACCGGAAATCTTTTCAAGAAACTCTGATTCCTTATTAAGAACGTTTATTTTCTATTTAAGGCTCTGCAACCTCTTTTACTGCAGCCAGACCAAGCTCAAGGCTTAATAAGATGTTAAACGGGCACAAATCACAGGCAAAGCCAGTAAGAGATAAAATAACTCAATATCTTGACAGCGGTATGTTAAATACCTAATTTATTTAGTCTAATACTAATTTCTTTAGAGATACTATCGATATGGAGCCCCTTCAATTCTAGAGAGAAAATGAATATCGGTTTCCAGCTATTACAGCTCTTGCACGGGATATTCTCTCTATTCCAGTAATAGGTACTGGTATTAAACGACTTTTTAATACTGTTTGAGATATCTGTCATTACTGCTGCGGTCGGATGAAGTCTGAGACAATTGAAGAAATTATAATGTTTTTTTGTACATTAAGATTTGATTTTGAAGAACAAGAGACAGAATTTCTCAAAGAATTCTTTTCTATCTATGAGATAGAAGCAGCAAAGGAAGAGAAAGACAAAAAATTAGAAGAGATTGAGGTAAAGTCAATTAGTGATACTAAAAAACAAAAGGATAATAAGGCCGTAGTAATGATACAGGATTACACTGAACCTGAATTACCAGAGAATATTACACAAATACAGGCTTCAGGAAGAAAACGGAAAAGTAGAGAAGATAATAAGTTTGAATATCATTAATATATTTAATTACTGCTTTTTAAATAATATTTTAATGATTAAACTCTGTACGATACTGAAAGCTTCAACGAATAAGACATAACCAGGAGGAGTAGACATTATAAAGCTCAATTTTCAAAAGAAATACTCAATATTACAGCTAAAAGATGCACAAGTTATGCAATCACGAGATCGAGCCATGTTTGCACTGTTTAGCCCCGTTTGGGGGCCCATTTGGGCCCCATCTGTGGGCCGTGGGCCCCTGGGCTCAGCCCATAGCCCATCATGGGCCCTAGAACCTGGCCCAAAGCCCAGCCCACAAGTGGGTTGGGTTGGGTTGGGCTTGGGCTTTCGTGGGCTCTGATGAAGTCTAGTCACGGGCTTGACATTGGGTAGGTGCGCTTCTACCCGCCAAGACCGTTTAGTAGGTCTGTGGGACGGTTACCGACTGAGCTACTAAAAAGACCAGAATACCAAGTCGACGACAAGGTACGCGTATCGCTCTATATAGTGGTTCTTGGTCAGTTCGTCACACTTTGTAGACCGTTATAACTGTAAGGTACCGGTCCGTCGACTTTACCACTGCACTATACGCCAAAAAGGCACATTGAATGACCAATAGGTTATTCAGTCAACGTACTATATAGGAACCCTGACAATTACGGAACTTTCCAGCTAGCAAGGCTCTTCCCCCTTGTCCATCAGTTTCTAGGGCACCAGTTCCTTTCGCCTATTCAGTTTTATCAGTCAGTATCTGTTGGCGGTACTTCGCATATTTGACCTTCCGAATGTAGTTTAGTGTACCACATAACCCATACAGCGATCGTAGATAGTTAGCTAGTCTGCAGCCTCGCTGCATAGAATCGATCAAGCATTCTACCAATTTTATCGTCAGCCATGCTGTCAGTATCTCTCTTAACATCGGCCAAATTTGTATCTAGGTACGATTATGTCTACTACCCGAAAACGTGGTTGTCCACCAAAATACGCCTCATCAGAGGAACGAGAGGCTGCAAAGCTTAAACGGTAACAAAGCCGGCGGGAGACCGCGCGGGCTACTGGACATAACGCGTCCTCTACCGAATTCTGCTTTGCTAGGCCATCTACAATCTCCAATCTCTCTATCGCTCATGTTACTGGCATAGGGGCGCCGTCGGTAACCTATAAACTGGAAGAGTTGCTCCCGCCGTTGAGCCCCGGTCCAGCTCCTCTCGAGTTTGAAGATAGCTATATACCGATTGACGAGCCTCTAGAGCTTAACAGTTTTGAGCCTGTCACTAGTCCCGAGCCCGAGTCCGAGCCCTCAGTCCGACCATCCCTACCGACGCGCAGTGAGCGACCCTATGATAATCAGTCGAATTTAGAGATCCCAGCTCCTATCCTACCGATTTCCGAGCCTCGCGAGGATATTTGCACGCTGGCACGCGCACTTGCCGATCAGCTATATCAGCATCACGGCTGTTGTCATAAGTGCCATGAGCAGGCACACACGGCGCACCAAGAGACGCATTCGGTTCATACTGGGCTTGGGGACTACGTAGACCAGATTAATATCGACGGAGACTTTCCGGATGTACTAAGCTCGACGACAATCGCGGTCCGCGAGTCCAATCTTGTCCAGCAAATTCCTAAGGTACGGAAACAACAGATCTACTGCAGAACGGATTCTCGAGACTCCGATCGATTCTCAATACATCTCTATGTGGCCGCCGACTATCGCCCAAACCCTTCATTGGGTATTACCGTTGATATCGATAGTGTGGGAGGATTTACAAGTAATTTGGCTGTAGCCCGTCGGGGGATCCGATAGCATCCTACGCAGATAGCAGTTTCTGACCTCCAGTCAAGCCTTCATTTAGATCCGATTTCGGTCCAGTTTTTCGATTCAACTGGGCAGGCCTATAGTGTGCGCCGGCCTGTCCATCAAGTCCCGCATTATACCTTTGGTCGCCTGATTGGATTCGAAGATATATCTCTGTATCTGCTCTTTTCCTGACTCTACCGGGAAGGTCAGCAATCCAGCCGTCTGTTAGACCAGGATTTTAGGCAGTGGATGGACGAGATTTTCCTCCCAATCATCAATTGCTGTTATTCCGGCGATCTTATTTAACACTACTTCTCTAGCTTTAACTATAGCCGGCTGAACGCGACCGCCCGGGACATAGAAATACGGTTACAGCGAGTGGATCCAGTCGCCCGTAAGCAGTTACTTGTTTACTTTCTACCTCTAGAAACGCTCCCTACTATCTGAGAACGGATTCTAGAGGTAACGAAACGCCTCGGATGCCATCAGTTTCAGGACGTCAGGATTCTAATCGAAGGAAAGAATCTTAAAATACTGACTAAGGCAAATACATTAGGCGAGCTGATCGAGGGCTTTCAATAACACTGGCAGAATACTATTAACGAGAGCTACCTGGCCGAACCGTTTTTCTACAATCTAGAAAAGGAAACCTGCCCGACGGCGGTACGCGAGCCGCCGCAGGGCCAGCCGCAGACCTTACTCTGGCGGCGATGCTGCCTGGATGCCTACAGCCAGTGAATCTATAGCAAGCAGCCAGCAGATGCGCCTCGTGCCCTGCAGCGTTTTTACCCAATTAGTATGCTTCAGAATACCGGCAGCCTGACGTTAGAGACCCGGCGATCGTCGCCGCAGAAGCAGGCAGATCTCTTATACAGTCAATTCTACGCGAGCGTGAAGGAAATCTTCGCCGCCGGGAACACATATCCTTTTACGAATACCAGGATGGAGACCTTAGGGCTTGATCCGCAGCTTCGGAAAACCTAGCAGACAGTTGGCAGGGGTCTCAGTCACAATCCGATCGCGCTCAATCGCGCATATCTTACGACGAAACAACGGTGCCATGCTGCCCTGCAGGGATCGATCCAAAAGGTCTTTGGCCTGCGGGAGAAGTACCGCGTATCCCACGCGCTGTTCTACCAAATTGTACGTGAATTTCAGGACCGGGAACAGTTGATAACCCCATTTCCGGGCGGAACGGATGGCGTCGAGCGTTATTACGTTTTTCTTACCTTTACGTTCTTTCGATGGTTCCGATGGAATATCAACAAATTCTGCGTCAGATTTGAGATGATTTACAGCCTGAATGACCGGCATTTTGTGACCTGGGAATATACCCGGATAATGTTGATATTCCTCCGCTGTCTCCCATTTTTCTACTCGGGGGGTCTGCTCGAGCGGGTCTCGGGCTGCTGGCGCAATATCTGGTTTCGCCCGGATCCGACCCAGCCAGACGGCCTTCGGCGGTGCGAGAGGCTGGGATTCCAACGGAATATGCAGCAATCCGGGTACGGCTGGTTTCTGAATAAGATTGATTAGGAAATGATAGTATTCCGACAGCTTACCGCGCAATATATCCAATTCAATAACCTTTCGCTGCAGGCCGCGTATCACGCCCGCTACCCCCAAGTGCGGGATGTCCGAGTGGACTTCATCCGGATCAGCCAGATTTACCAGTGAATAACCGATTTTAGCGGCATTCCGACCTGTCAAGATTATCTGCAGAAATATCTTCGGCAGCTCTGTTTACGCGCCTTCCGGAAGGATATTTTTGCGCAAATTAAGGCCCTGTTGAAACCGGAGTTCGCGACCGCTGCCCTGGCCGGAAAGATCCCACTCTGTTAGCCTAGTCTTGTAAAGGCGCTGCAGATCCGATTCTGGCCGCCATACATTGTTTCCGGAAACCGGATAGCCGTAAAGCATATTAACGTTCTCTTTACCTGGCTCTGGAAGTAATATAACAGACGATTTGAGCAGAAAGGTTAGGATTACAAACCCTACCGCCTCTTATATCAAAAAAGCTTCGAGGTAATTACCTTAATCCAGGGAAAGGACGCCGCTCGTCAGTAGAAACAGGGTCTAAAAGATTCCTTTATTCAGAGCCATTGGATGCTGCTTTATCCCCAAAACAACAGCTTCATGCGAAAATCCAAGGAGAGTGATCAGGTTATGTGATAGTCCAGCGTACACCGAAGCTTCGATCTATACTACCAGGAGCTATATCTTTTCGATCGGCCTTTTCCGGTTTCCTATATCAAGTATTATCCCGTAAGCCACTGGGGTCTCTCTTAACCCTGCCTGTCCCATCTCGACTATACCATTTAACCGGAGTAACGGCTTCTTTATCTCTCCGATAGCGAATTGTATCAGTAACTAACTGATTTACGGACTCGATAGAATTCTGTTATTTAAACATTATTTCGGTCGGACCGCCCGTTGTCTCGTATAATATTTAAGATTCAGGAGCGGATTGAAAATACGTTCAGCTCAATTACGGGTCCGGTAAAAAGCTGGTCGGTATCAGCGTATAACCGGATGTTTGAACCAGCATTATATAAATGGGAGATTCTCTAGTACTGTTGCCAGTGTTTCCAGCGCTGTCGCCGTCATGTTACACTTCCGGATTACTTCTCTGATACCGAGCCCGAGGGGCCGGCAGATATTGACGAGCAAACGTCCGATAAAGAGGGCATTGAGCTCCAGAAAATCCGGGCTGAAGAATATATTTAGCGGATCGAAAAGCGGCTGTATAAGCTGATTTCTCAAAATCGTCAGCGATTAAATAAACCTTGTCTAGATAACGGGATTATCAAGAATTATGCCCCTCGGCTATGCCGACTGCCTAGCTATAACTTTTCGGTCTTACAATTACTTCGGACTCCAGCTGAAGTAGAAAGAGATGAGAAAGAGAATCGGAAAAGACTGCAATATTCCTGGATCCGGATCTGATTGTATTTCGAACTCTAGGGAATGATCTCGCAGGCTATATCACGTGACGCTTAGGATCGATAATGTGGCTGCGAAAGATAACTAAATCGCTAATATTATCGCCTTGCCTGACCAGACCGATCATGCAACCGATTAATATAAGCCGTATGATTTATGACGATCCTGAAGCCCCTGGAATTGCATAAAGATCGGCTTCTTTATCGTATAGTTAAAAAGAATTAAGACCTTCATTCCGTTGAAAACGATCATATTCCTTGATTGAATAATCGCTTCTAGGAAGACCCATATATTTCTGCTACAGATAAGTATATCTCAAGGAAAGATACTCTAGACCCTAGATATCCTTCAGATCCTATATATCCTTCGATAACTACAGTACCTTCAGCATCTATTCTACGATTGTAACTATGTTTCTGCCGAAAAAGGCAAACCGTACGTTTAAAATACTATAAACCTTATAGATCCTACACATCCTTTAGTGGCTATAGTACTTTACTCATTTATGCTAAGATCGGTACTTTACTCCCGCAAAAAAATACCAGTCTGTTGTGTAAGTTACTATAGATCCTATAGATCCTATAGATCCTTTAGTACCTATCGTACCCTAAGGATCCCCTTTAAAATCCAAGACAAAGTCTGTTAGCATAATAGTTATCTTTTGGTCTAGTTACTAGTATGGCTAGCTTTTCCTTACAAGCCGCACTCCGCCTTAAGGCCGGCACCCTTGACCTTATTACAGGAGTCTAGATATATTCGTCCGATAGAATCTATAGGACCTATAGTATAGTTAGTTACGATAGAATAGAAAGAGTCTACCTATCTATTGCCGCGCGAGCGAATCAGCCCTCCTAACATTACCTCTGATACTGATTACCTAACTGAAATCCTACTGTTGAGCCCCGTAACCTCCGCTTTCCCTATCCCGCGGGAAGAAAGGCTATCTAGAAGGGAGGATCTAGAGCCTCCATATACTGCCCGGGGTTTCGCCTCAGGCAGGAATGCCCGCAGAGCATCCAGGAAGGTTCCTGGATGCCTACCGGAGGGTCCCTAGATCCTATACTAACCAACCAGAACGTTCCTCCGCATCAGGAAGTCCCCTGACTTCCGGAGGTCACAGTGACGCCCAGGCTCGCGAGAAAGCTCCAGACGCGACTGAATAGGTTACTGGCCTTGTAAACAAGCCTTCAGATGGGCTCTCTGACGCGCCTCTTACCGCGACAATGGACAAAACCGACCAAGATAGGGAGACGGGAGAGACTGACCCTTAACCCATAAAAGACGAATAGCTATAACCCAACCTACTAGAGTGGCTAGAACCGAAATAGAATATCTCTGCAGTGAATACGCTCGCTATCGATAGTTATATTGCCTCTTAACCGGACGAGACTATCATTGGGGCGTGTAGCGTTTCTTTATCTGACTTTTTGGCAATAGGAGCCCTAGCGCGTTATCTAATTCAATCGTCTTTTGATAATCGAATCTATCCTATTATAGAATCTCAAAGAGCTCTCCCTTCCCACTTTCCCCTGGCAATCGGAAACCGTCCTGGGAAAGAAGTGGGAAACATTGTCTGAAACTAAGGCAAATGCGCGCTAGCGGGGTCATTCACTCTTCTACCGCAGAAACTGAAATTTACAACAAACGGACCAACCATTTTACCCTTCCCAGTCAGACTTTTTCTTTTTTATTCTTCCTAACCTCTTTTTTGTCCCTTTTCTGCCCTTACCCCCTATCTATCTTACCATTCCTAAGCCTTTCATTGATTGTTTCAATCTATTGTTTCGCGTTTTACCATCTAAACCATGCTCCCGTCATTAGCTTCCCCGGCAGATCGCCAGCCGAATACCTCGAAAGGTAAGAGATGGCATCTAGAAGCGCTAGAGATGACCGACCCTCGAGAGCAGGAGCAAGTTCGCAACATGCTAGAACGTCTTAGCGAAGAGTTTACCCCGATGCGCAACCCTGGGAAATATCGCGCTAAATTGTCGATCGAGAGACACCTGAGGGACCGTATCGAGGAGTTCCCGTTGTTTATTCGCACTAGCTTCGCTGCCGACGCGGACAGAGCCATCGGGCTTCTATATCAGGTCTTTATCAAAGGACGGAACATTTGGCTGAAGAAACAGGATTCTTTGGCAGCAGCGGCTGGATTCTCAGTCTATCGCCCAAAACGTTACCGCTCTGGACGGAGGCAACGTCGCCACGAGTTAGAGTCTAACGGTAACAAATTATCAAGCAGTAACGAAAGATCTCGATCTCCAATATCTGATAGGTGCAAACGTTTCCGGCGCCACCGTACCCGCCGCAACCAGAAGAGGCGCGCCATTAGCCCTAACGGCCAAAGTCTAATATCCGATCTTACCGACTATGATCGTCGCATACATTCCGATAGCGATATTTTCATAGGCGGATTAGCTGAAATATCTCGCCGATTCTCTCTGGCCCGTGCTGTACCCTTTTCCGCTGTTTTACCTCATACTTCTACCGGATCGTACATTCCGTCTATCGACATTTATGTCCGCCGTAAAGGGAACCCTACCATTATCGGGGAGACGGTACCCATTCTTTTATTCCGCGATAACATTTAGCTTGTATCCAGTCAGCCGATTCGGCCCATCCACGTCGCATACGAGCGATAGTTGCAGTTCCTTCAGGACGAATGTCATTTCCGCCCGGAATATGAGGAGATTTGGCCACTGGACCCGAATGGGAGCCCGATGAGACCAGTCTCCTCTCTCTATCGCCTGCAGTTTGTGCTTCTGAAGGCTACGGGGGCCGTCCAGGTCTTCGAGATCCGGCCCAAGATCTCCCTAGACCCCCTCGAAAGCTTTTTGCCACGGATAGACCTTTCCGCCCCTAGATCAGACGATTTCCCACCCCGTTCTAATTCGAATACCGGGCGCCGCGGAGAAGATTCCCTCTCCCTACCTCCTTGCTCTGATAGGCAGGCTAGTATGCCTACCGGTAAGCTGCGGAGGCACAAGGATACCACTCGCCGGTAGTTGAATGACAGCCGGTTTCTGACGCCTCGGGCCTCTAGTCTTTCTGTTAGGGGCTCCGACTAGGGTTCTAACCAAGTGATCGGTAAGGATACTAACGAGGGTACTTACTAAGATGCAGGTAAGGAGTTCTCTGTTGCCGAATCCGAGCCGCTATTTGACGAGCAGCTTCCGCGCGCCACTGTTAAAGAGTCAACCAGAGAAGTACCTAACGAATCTGCTTTCGACCCGCATCCGCAGACTCCCGTCCTAAAAATTACAACAGTTCTTAAGGTTGGGCCCGTACTGCCCCTGAATCGCGTGGAACCGATGCCTCCGACTGCAAATCCTGCACGAACAGACGGTATTGTTTCCTTTTTGTCAGTATTTATACTATCCTTTCGTTCCTTACCTGTTTTCTAACCACGCATTGTCTCTCTCTAGAATCCTACAATGTAATTACAACCGCCAGTGACAGGGGCAGCGAGCCCGACCACGAGAGCGATAAAGATATCGCAAGCATTATTGACGACCTAGACGGCAAGGAAAAGTAGGTTAAACTCTCAGGAATTCAGGAAATAGCACGAGCTAATGGAGGACCAGGATCTTGATGTTTAACGACACGTTACGTTGCGATAACTTCGACCCGGAGGTATAGAGTATCGCGTGTTATACGTATAAAATTTTGCCAGAAGTAGGAAAAGATGCAGCAATCAGAATCCCTATTCCGGAAATCCGTTTCCGGTGACGCCCTTACCCCTATCAAATGTACGGTGCGGTATGGATACTGCATCGAGAAAGAGATAACCTGCAGAACGGGAGTTTTCTTGCGGACGATATCGGGTTTGGCAAGGTTAGTCCCTTCCTTTCTGCAGGACTCTATATTTGCCCACTAATCACTTCTTTCGGGCAGACTCTTGTGACCTATCTGGTAATCCTAACGGTAAGATAGATTGAAATTGCGCTGCAGCGAGCCCGCGACCAGCCATCCTCCCAGCCAGACTATCAAGCCTGCGGACATGATCACGATCTTCCCATTCGGTGTCCCTGTCGACCGTCTGCGAAGAATTATGTCCTCTCCCAGGTCCGCAAGGGCGCGAACTACATCTTTGTCGACGCCAGCCTTATTGCGACCTGGTACAATGAGTGGAAGTTAATTGTTGATACAAAGGACGCTCACATCCGCGATATAGTTTTCGTTTTAGGATACCGGGATTCCTACCGAAGTCTCCCGACGTGAGAACAGTGGTCACGCAATAACGGGGCCGATCAGTTCTTCCCAAAGGACCTAGCAAAGTAGAAAGATCTCCTTTACAAGACGATCGTGAGTCGCTACCGCCTCGGGACCATGAGCCCAGAAGATCGGGAGGCCTGGCGCCAGATCAGAAAGGACCTTAAACGTAATCATTACAGCCGGTTTATCTTGCTGACGACCCCCCAGAGTTATAACAGCCGTTTCGCTAACTTTATGAGTCGGACTCGGAGACTTCTCCCGGATCCTACAAGGAAGGCTCCGGTATGGAAGACCAGCCATCGTATCACGATCGGCCGGACATTTCGCGACAAGTGTTATATTACGTATGGCGAGACTACCCCTATCGTTCTCAAACTAACGGCGTTAGCAGAGTGTTAGGCTCCCGCGTACTGGTTTCTGTCCGCGACACCCTGCACGTCGTCCCCGGCAAATCTGGCAGCATTTATGCGTCTTACTGAAACCCAGCAGTGGCGGGCTGATCCCTGTACGCGCAAGAATAACTATCAGCTGCTCCAGCAGCTTAGAAAGCAGTTTAATACCGCTTCCGCCAAGGAAAATGTAACCCAGATTGACGCTATACTGGACTGCCTCGGCACCTTCTTCCGTGCGATTAACTTTCTAAAACGAACGCAGGAATCCGTCTGATTCGGCCGCACCTGCCTGGATCTTCCTGAGCAGATTGTATATCCTATCGACTGTCCTCTGGATGTCACTAACCGCGAGAATATCAAGCAGTTACGTGATACCTGTCTCGGCAATATCTATAGCGCCATGCACACGGTAAACCGCGGCACCTTAAAAGTAAAGCTAAACAGTATGACGCAAGCCATCCGCATCTGCGCGACTTTTTCCGGTCTGCTCTGCCATGCCAAGCAGCAGGGAAAGGCCATTACGGACATTCCCACCACGGTAAAACGTATGGAGGCAGAAGACATCCTACCACACCCGGAAAACAGTTGATTGGCCTCCCAGATTGATACGGTATTCCGTGGTTCGTCCCGCTGGGTCGCGGTTCAGCGGATTATCGACGGCCTAGGTATCGAATCCGATACCGGCCAACCGCGCAAGATCGTGATTCTGTTGCAATATCCGACCGTAACAGTAATCGTATATCTCGTCAGTTGTCCCGAACTCTCTGTCTCTGTATCAGCAATCGCTCTAACGCTATTAGGCAATCTGCAAATACTATCCCGCTCACCATCTATATCTCGGCCTAAGGAACGCTACAGACCGGTCGTTTTAGATAGATAAGTTCCAAGAGCTGCCGACAGGAGCTACTTTTACTTACAAAAACGAGCCTGCCCGCAGTCCCGGTATTTTCGTAACTACAACTAACATTTCTTCCCGTAAGCTGACTCTTATTCGCGCCGCAAGCCTAATCCTTATGGAGGTGGACTGGCGCAGTACGAACCACACGCAGGCCTTTGGCCGCATCCGCAGAATCGGTCAAACAAGTCCAGTAGTCTACAACTATATCTTTCAGAACACTCAGGAAGAGGAAGATCAACGCGCTATCCTCAAAAATATGGCGAGACAGGCCCTCGAAAAGACGGTCAATACATACGGGCAAAAGGGATCTCCTTCCGGTCAGTAAGGCGAGAAAGATAACAGAATGATATCAGCTATAGGCCGTTTTCCGCCTAGACTTAGAACTCCAACAACGTCGAAGCCCTATCAAAATTTGCCTAGATATAGAGC